AAAAGTTTACAACTTGATTTTTTCAAAAAAGGCAACAAACTGCAAGCACCTGTTAATAAAGGTCTTAAATAATAATAATAATAATAATAAAAGATGAAACGTAAGATGCGTCCTGGCTTTAACAAGCTCTTCAGGTCAGTTTTATGTCTCCTGCTTTGGGAGCAAACAGATGATTCGCCAACTCTAATGTTAGGTTTATGAAGCCACAGTTCCTGACGCAGTTGGTAAATTGTGACTGTGACTTTGAGATTAGAGGAGCTAGTTTAGGTTGTTGACAAGATACCAATTTATATTAGCAAATTCTGTAGGATTTTGTTTCCTCAGCAGAGGCTCCGGCTAGACGGTGAAGAGTGGTTGTGGCCTCGTCTGCTGGACGGAGTCCTGGCGCGCTCTGCTTGCAGCCTCCACACACTGTCCCTCCCACACACAGGCCCCTTCGGGCCTGGCTGAAGTGAGCGTGTTAGCATGACTGTCTGCTTTCTTACCTGGAATGAATGATATCTTAGAGTGTAGAAGTGTGAAAATGAATTTTCTGGATTTTGATTTCCAGCAGTCTTTCTTTTTTTGTTGTTGTTGTTGTTTGTTTGTTTGTTTGTTTGTTTGTTTTTTGTTTTTATGTATTTGGTACAGGGTCTCACTACCAGCTCAGACTCGTAGTGATCCTCCTGTTTTCAGCCTCCCCAGCACTGGGATTACAGGTGCGCAGCACCACACCCGGACTCAGTTGCTGGCATAGCTTGCCCAGGGGGCGGGGCCGGTGCAGTTTGTGCAGCCAGGGATTGAACCCCAGTCTCTGTGCTAGCCTAAGCGGAAGCTTAGTGCACTGAGCTGTCTGGCCAGCCCTCAGAGTCATTTCTTCTTTGAGAATTCTCAAGAAACACAATTCTCAGTTTTTGAGGTTATAGACAGACAACTTGGAGAACACACATTTTTTAGTATAAATAATTTTTATAAAACAATGTATCTATGCAGTTTGTATAAATTACTATTTTTTGAGTCTGTTAGAACAATTCGGACCTCAGAATTATCTCTGGGCTGCAGTATTACCAAAGTGGAATGACTAAGATGTAGTCGGACTTCGTATATGTAGTAGTCTTGAGTGAACTTGGAAAATCTGTAGAAAGTGTATTGAGTGATTCCTACTTCAGGAGCGCGCACACTGTTTATCCTTGGGAAGGGTAACTCCTACTGCATGAGGGAACCACGCTGCCGTTGGACACCCAGAGCCTGAAGTGACCTCACTGCCTCCACTTGGACTCGGGAGACCAGATTGTGAACTGGTCTGGCTGGGACCTTGGGCCTGCTGTTTAACTGCTCGTGCCTTAGGCTTGCAGTACAATCAGTCTGCCCTTCAGACTTCACATGCAGATGAACCTCAGGAGCTATTACAGACTTGACAGTGGTGTGCTGTGGCTTAGGAACCACCCGAGTCTTGCTGGTGGTCCATTTCCGTGGGCTGGGTGTTTTCTGATATACATCTGCAGTATGAATTTGCTTATATTGTAGAAGTTGGGTGTGGTGGTGAACGCCTGTAATCCTAGCATTTGGGAGGCTGAGGCAAGAGGATTGATGTGAGTTCAGTGCCAATCAGAGCTACAAAGTGAGCTCAAGGCCAGCCTGAACTACACAGTCAGACCATGTCTCAACACCCCCCCCCAAAGAAAAGAAAAAGGAAAAAAAATCATATGGTTTATATTGTGAGAGAAAGAATTGTTAAGGAAGAGAAAGTAGAGAAGAAAAGAATGATGTAAATGAATAATCAAAAAGAAAGAGGAAGTGAGAAAGAAGGAAGAATTAAAGGGAGGGTGCAAGGATGCAAAAGACAGAGTAAGAGAAGATGGACAAAGTGGGAGAACTGAGAAGAGGAGATGGACAGGAGGGCCGTGGAAGCATTGTCCTGTGGAGTTAGAGCCCTGTGGAGGTGGCTGCCTGCTGTCCTTGGTCTGCTGCGGGCAGCCGAGGTGCAGGCAGCTGTGGAAGGGCCAGCTGTGTGATTGGGGTTAGAGACATTT